CACAGCCCGGGGAGTGCCCGGCACGGAAGGGGCCGGTGCCCACGGGCATCGAAGTAGGTGGTGTTGTGTTGCTGCGCTGATTGGCATCTCCTAATTGCTCCCGGGCTGTTAATTAGCACCTGGTGGTGTATTCCCATCTCGATCTGGCTGCCGTGTGGTCTGCCCCTCTGGGATGTGAGATACAGAGGAGGCAATACCAGAGACACCAAATAAAATTCAACAGTTCTCTTGACAACAGAAATAATGGCAAATTTCTAAATTTCATAGATTGTTGGTTAATTTTCCTTTTCAAACTTACTATTACCTCTCTAAATGCTGGCAGATTTGGAGACATCTGGATCATAGACCTAAATATCATAAGATCATGCACCATTTCACTGGTATGTTTGCTATTATAAAATACATCACTTTTTGTGGAGAAGAATTCTTTCTGCCCTTAGTATTTTCCAGACACTTTGGTTTACATCATCTTAGTTCTGCCTAAACAAGCAAATGCAGTATAAATACACACACACACACACATGCTCAAGTCTCAAGCTGCTGTGTGTGCAGGATGTGTTTGCAGCTCCCTGAATGGGAAATGCACACTTCAATACACAGGTGTGTGTATTTGCAGTGGGCAGGTCTGAAAACCGTGGCTTTATAAGGTAGGCTTTGAATAAGTTTTGAATAAGTCTAGCTGTGCAGACAGTGAAAACAATACTGTTGGAAAAGTGGGGGGTTTTAACGCAGAGAGGAAAAGTACCAAGTCGTGGTACTCCAGTTTAGGACACAGAACTGCTTGGGAAATGTTTTCTGTCTGCAAAAGACCTGAGGAGAATTAGATTTGTAAACACTGTTACAGAGCTCAGTAATATAGATATAATTATTTCTATTTGCCATTTTTATGGCTGGCCAATGCTGTGGAGGGGTTTTGGTTTTGTTTTGCAAAACCCTGTGGAAAATAAACCACATCTGCAGAAGAATTCTGAGGGTTAGTCTGGACAAACAGTTTTACTCAGCTCATTTACCATGAAGATACTTTTCCTGGTCAGTCATCAAGCATTTGCTTTAACTTCTCTAAAGTTTTTCTGTTTCTCAGTTGAAACTGTTACATTTTCTGTGACAGTGACTCATCCATCTATAGCTAGAGTGAAATTCCAGGTAAGCATTAAACATTATCCTTTGCACACAATAGTTAAGTAAGTATGTGCTCTTAACATGCTTTCCTAGGATTTTAGAGCACTTTGTGACCATTCATTCAATTAATCCTCATCCAAGATAGCTCAAGAAAATAAAATGCAGACAAACTTATTCTCATGGAGTGTGATTATTTTAAGCATTAAAGCTCACACATAATTCCCTGCGTGTAAGACCTTTCCAGTGCCTGGCTGGCATTGGGTGCTGTTACCAGGAACCATCACACAGTGTACTTCAGTGTTTGTAGGATTTCTTTGGGGTTTTTTTCCCCCCACAGTGTTACAGTAAAAATAGAATATGATGGAAGTGATCTAAAAAGTAAGCACAGAAATATATGGACAACTGGGATGTGGCATTGAAATCCACCCTTTGCCTGCTCACATACAAGTTGGGTGAGAGGAGCAGTAGCTCTGGGGTCGGGTGTCAGGAGCAGGCTGGTCCCTGCTGGGATGGAGTCCTTCTCACTCTGATTCTGCATGTGTTCCTATAGCAACAGTCCACCTATTTGACTGTAGATAACATTGTAATAGTATCTTATTTTCCTGCACATAGTCCAGTCTTTAAAGACTTTAGTCTTGGAGAAAAATTACACTGATATTCAGCATCTTCAAGTAATCTACAGCAATTCCCAGTCAGGGGCAGAAAGGCAATTGAGGAAATAGAAACTGTGGGAATGGAGTCAGAAGGTATAAATGGGAGACAAGCCTGCTTGGGCAAATGTCCTTGTTTATTGCCCACTCAGTATGCTCCCTTAACACTTGGGAAAACATTAAGAAGTTCTCTGCAGCCTTCCACTTAGGGAGTGAAAACTTATTTTGTTGCCATGCAATGATTTCTGTTGTGTCTGATTTACAGGTGTTACCTTTGTCTTCATGAGCAATTATTTCTTTGTCCTAAAATAAAAACCCTACAGACTCTCTAGACTACAAGCCTCCACATTTAAAAATATGTTTTTCTGTAAGCATTTGGTTCTTTGCCTCTATTTCCCTCATGGATAAGCCTTCACTGGATTTTTTTACTTCAGACTTGCACATTTCAGTTAAAAGTTCACTTTTCACACATGATGCTGCTGTGTAGTTTTTCACTCTGATCCAACATCCATGCCTTTGAATTCTAGAGAAGCAATCAGTCATGTCTCTCTGGTGATTTAGCAGAGAGGAAAATAAATATATTTGTGTATATATTTATATATATATTTGTATATTTGACTGTTGGAAATAAATAGGCCCCTTAGGTAAAAACACATAATTCCAGGCTCTGATGAGCACTGGAATGTATTTAAGGGCAAGTGCATTGAATTATACCAAAATATACCTTTTCTTGGTAACTCAATCCTGTTCTCTCAACCTCAATTTGCTCAAAACTGGATAGAAAGCCTCTCTCAAAATGATTACATTCTTTATGCTCACCAAGCAGATGGCATTCATTCAGGAATATCCCAGAAATGCAAAGTCTGTAATAGAGGTTTTCCATAATCTTATTATTGCAAACCTCCCTTCTCTTAACAGCCCTTGCATTTTGGTATTACAATAATTACTTTTTGTGTTCAGGACTGACTTGCACCAAGACCCAAATCCATTGTTAGAAATCTAAATTTTGCAGAGCTGAGGCTATTAAAGCTTCAGGAAGCAGAAGGATTGCTGAGATTTATTTCACAGGAATCTAGCTATATTTTAATAAATAAAATTAAGAAAGAAAAAGCAATATGAATAGCTCTATTTGTTTGAAAACCTTATACTTCTTGAGCACAGAGTTTTTGTTTTTTTCAATATGATTTAATAATTTAAATGATAGAAGCTTGTCTATTAATAGATGATTTGTCAGGGGTAGCCTTTTTGACTAGGTGAGGAGAAAGGAGAGGAAACATTGCTTAGTGGTGATCCCTCTTTCAGTATCATACTGCTAATTCTAGCACTGACTCACTACAGCCTTGGAAAGCTACAGTGCTTTTGTTCTAGCAAATACTAAGTAAAGAAAGGAACCAATCTGCTATAATAGCAAACATCCATTTTATTGTCACACTGCCTGGAGTTCATTTGCAGGAAAAATCCAGTGCCTTTGTTCTTGCTCTCTGTGCAGCTAAAAAGTCTTGTAACTAAGTGTTTCCAGTTTCTAGTTCTGCATCTTCCAGTACTGCTCCCCTTATTTGCAGTTATAAAAATATTAAAGTTATCTAGATATCTAGAGTTACTCATACTGGTTTCTGGAAGTAGATGAACTCAATTACATGGGCAGAATAAAGGGAATGATTCTCAAATGGAGGAGGCCAAAAAACCCCATAATAAACAGCTACTTCCTCCCCCACAAGTTCAGCAGGCTGTTGGGTGATAGCAAAGGGAATCAGGCTAACACAGAAGTCTTAGAGTGTCTGAAAAAACTAATATACCAAGGAGAGATATACATCATGTATATACACTAGAAAACTAATGAATTGATGACATATATGCTTTTACTAGATACCCAAGCTGTCACTTCTATAGGTGTTACATGCCATGCTTCTCTCCA